GAGGCGGTATCACTACGGAAGTAGATTGCCCAACCTTCCTTCTAAGGAGTGGCTAGTGGGTTTGAACTGCTAAATTGCCCTGGGGGTGGGGGGAAAGCCTGTGATCTTTACCAGTGTTAACCTACATTTAAGGGTACTTTTTTTAACCCATCTGCTGAGAACGCTTTGATGCAGCCATACACAAATCTACTGTGTAGGCCCCATCTACCGGATAGCATAGGTCTTTCCTGTCAGCAGCTCCATCAATCTCCTGTATCCATACCAAATAGTGAGGTCTTTGTTGATACTCAGAGCTGCAGGTGGAGACAAAGCCCAGAGAGGGGGTACTTGACTCCCAGCTTGGGTTCTACAAGATGTGTCTCTCTCTGCTGGCAGGAATCAAGAAGGGCCCTACTGTCCCAGGCCTCAGGCCCTGCCTAAGGCGCTTGATGCTTTTGTGAACTTCTTGTCTCTTTCATGTTTTGATGAATTGGTCTCTGGCAAGAGAATTGGTCAATGTCCTCTCTCACCCCTGGCTTTCTAGAAACTGCAGCTATATTTAGCCTGGTTGCACCACCCCTACCCCTCTTCCTGAGCTGGGGTATAATTTCTAACCAACCAGAGGATTATAGGGTCTAGGCTGAGAAAGAGCAGCTGAGACAATGGGCTCCCATGGAAACCTGAGGCTCCTGTTTCTCAAAACTGAAGCAGCTCACAGGCAATTAGCACTGGGAGGAAGGCAGGACCGGGTGTGGATCTTCAGGACAAAGCACAGAGTTAGGGCTGGGCAGTTTGGCTGCCCTGACTCCTCGTGGGCAGAGACTAGATGACAGCCACATGTGTGGAAGTGCTCTTAAAGGGCAGAACGGCCGAGAAGAACAGGGCTATAAGTTGATAGGACCTGTGGCCCAGTTGACAACCGTGTTGGGCCAGACACACCTGAAAGGCCAGCTCAGGAACTGGGTTCCAGGAAGACCTGGGTCTGGCTACTGGAACCAGAGAGAGAGCTTCCCATCACCTGAACACTGACCCCACACCCCAGGTGTTCTTTAGGATGTTTCTTCTCCATCTTCCCAGCTGTAGTTCTAGCCCCTTTCCTCTAATTCTGTATTTAAAGGAGCCAGCAAAGAGTTGGCTACCAAAGGTGTAGCAAAGGTGTGAAGAGCACAGGCTGGGTTCTGTCCCAGGTCTTTTCCCTCCTTGGGGCGGGATCTTGGGCAAGGTCCCAAGCACTACCATGAGGGAGTGTGCCTGGCTCATAGAAAGAGCTCAGAACTTTAAAATGTTTCTTTCTTCTTCTCCCTCTTCTCTTCTCTTTTCCTCCTCCCCCTCCCTCCCTCCCTTTCTTCTCTTTCTTTGTCTTCTCTCCTTTCTTCAATACTCTACTACAGCTGTAAAGCTGGAGGCGAGGATACCATGTTGTTTGATGATTGGTTCCAGTATTTTCTTTTTGAACCCTGCTCTGCCTTTTTTTTTTTTTTTTTAGTTTTTTTTCCCATTGTTGTAAAAATACTGATAACACAACGTTTTTCATATATACAATTTTCATATACATTTTTCATATATACAATTCAGTGAGATCCATTACATCAATCATGTCATTCAGCCTCACCATTATTCTTTGCCAAATTGTCTATCCCCAGAAAAAAAAACTCAGTGCTTCCTGAGCAATAAATCTCCCCATTCTCCCTCCCACTCTCCTACCCTTGGTAACCACTATTAGACTCTGATCGTTAAATATTTGTCTATTCTAGGTACTTCACATTGGTGAGATATTTGCCCTTTTGTGCCTGACTTACTTCACTCAGCATACTGTTTTCAGGGTTCATCAATATTGTATCAATCAATGTATCATGACTTCATTTCTCTATGGCAGAGAAATATTCCATGTGTATTTTGTTTATCCATTCATCTGTTAATGGGTATTTGAGTTGTTTCCACCTTCTGTCTGCTTTCTTTTTTATTCCTACCCCCTAGCCTCATTGGATCCCATTCCTGTTGCCAGGCAAAGTTGGTCTGAGAGGCTATCTCCAACTTTTCCTGTGTGTGAGAAAGGGAAAAGAAAGATGGCAACTTCCCAAATCTCTTTTCTAGCAGCTTTGCAGTTGAGGGAGCTGTGCTGAGGAAGGATGGGAGTCCCTACAGGGTGCTGGGGCCATCTCTCTCCTGCTGCCTGATGGGTGGATGAAGCCTCAGGAAGCTCCCAGCACCGGGGTGATGAGAGGCTTTGGCTCACATTTCTGGAGATGCCACCTGGCCTTAGCTAACAGTATGAGCTCTTCTAGGTGCGTATGGCCCTGAGGTTTAGCAGGAAGTGCTCCAAGCCAGACAAGATGGTGGGTGGGAGGATAGAGCAGCCCCTCAGCCCTTGGGCAAAATACCTGATTGTTTAAATACATAAATAAATAAAAGCAAAAAGTGAAAGTTTGCTCTGAATTAGAAACTTCTGGCCTTCCAGTATGTTTTGAGAATTATGGACATTCTGTGGCCTGAGTATTTGTGGTAACAGGTAAAGCCTCAAGAACCACAAAGTGGAAAGGAGAGTTTGGAAACCAATCTCATGTCCTGGAATATATAGAGATGCCCTGTGGTTATGATAGTATCTCATTTCTAGGTAGCCCTTACAGTTCCCAAGGTACTTCCATATTTTCCTGTTCCTTTAGAAAGGTGCCACAGGCTCAAGGGAGAAAGGCTTCTTGTTTTCACAAAGGTGGGCAAAAACCCAGCATATTTTACAGGGTGGTTACTGCAGAGGCAGGACTGGACCTTAGGCAGGCTAGATATGGCACTGCTTACAACCCTGGGTCTGCTGGTGGCCCCTTGGGTAATGAAGGTCATGGCAGGATGGTTCCAGAGGCCAAAGTCCAAAACCAACAGCAGCTACTTCCTGGACCACTGGCTCATCCTTCCCCTTGAGCTGTGCTCCAGGGCCAGCCACCTGAGTTCTTTGGCCCTTGGGCTAAGCTTCATTCGGCACCTTGACTTTCTGGGAATGATGTCAGGATATGTTTAATCCAAGAAGTTAGAAGCTGACCCTCAGACCCGTGAACATGAGAGCCTTAATTTCTTGCTGACTAGCCTTACTGATAAGTTTCTAAACCTCAGTGGTCATATCTATAAAATGAAGAGATTATACTACTGGTCACTTGTGTTCTCTCTGTCTGACTGTAACTGCTGGCAGAGTCATTCTCTGCTCTCTCCTCCTGGACTCTCACCTGGACCCAGGTGGTTTGATCCCCATCTGTCCTTTTGCTGGAACAGTATGTGAACTGTTAAGTGTGTCTGCCCTAAACTCCACGTCTGTTCTGGTGACTGTGAGCAGTGAGTCACTTTTTTTTTTTTTTTAACCAAGAATCATAACCAGTTTCTGACATCTGGAAATGATGATGTCATTAGCTCATCCCCAGAGGACGGAAAGGGTTGGGTTGGGCCTTGGCTTCTAAGGCTTGGCCAACTCCACACTTAGCAGCTCCTAGAAGGTGCTGCTGCTCATGCAGAAAGTGATTCTGCTGCTGTCTTCCGAAGCTAAATCCTGTCACCTGCCCTAGTGCAAAAGTGGGGCCTACCTCTGTTGGAGGAGCCCTTGACTGGTTCATTGTTTAACACACCATCCTGATAACTGACAGTTCGGCAGTGTGAGTCCACCCAGAGGTGCCCAAGAAGAAAGGCCCTGGAGGTCTACTTCTGAAATAGAAGCCACCAAAGACCTTATGGAGCACAGTTCTACTTTAACACAATTGAGGTCACCATGAGTCAGAATCTACACCATAGCAACTGGTTTATCCCTGCTGGGCTGGGAGGAGTAAGAAAAAATATGGATGATGAGAAGCCTGGAGAGGAGTTATTGTTTATGCAATGCCCCCATCCCGCAAAGCCCCATCTGGTATGGCTTGTGGTGGAGGAGACATTCTGGATTAAGAACTAGCACAGAGCTCTGAGGGGCTGGGCAGCAGTGAGATGGGCAGGGTGTAGCTCTGGACTGAGCAGTGGCTCTGAGTCTTCTGGGAGTCTCAGACCCATGTGAAATCTATCTCTCCCAGGAAATGAGCCCTTGAGCTTACACATGCACATGGGACACACACGTACACACATGCACACATATACTCTGACATAGGATATGAGAGGGGTGCCAGCTTCCTAGTTAAGACTCCTTTGGTGTCTTTCTGTTCTTGCAAAGCCCCTGCTGTGTCTGCCTCAGCGTCAGGCCTTCCCTTTCTGGACGGTTGTCTCGATATCTGGAGCTTCATTCTGGACTTTTTCTCCCTTCCGTCTGTCCCTGTGTGCATGTCTCTCTCTGGATCAGAGGATGTCGCAGTCACAGATCTCTGCACTCTGTAGCACTTTAAAGCTGAAACTGGAGTTCTTTGCCTCTCAGAATGACTAATTAAAAGCAGTAAAGGTTATTCTGTAGACTGTAGTATTTAATTTTTTTTTTTTTTTTTTTGCTATGAAATTGTACTCATATGTTTCTTGCGTAATTAAAAAAGGGGGAAGTAGAATACTGTAAAAATAAGTATAACCAGAGGCAGGCAGGAGGGAGGGGAACCACTGATTAGGTGGCACTGATCTTCTGTTAAGGGTGATGAGAAAATTTGGGAATGAATAAGGACTATGCTTGAATGATATAAACATAATTAACAACACAGAATTGTGGCATTAATGTGAAGACAGTTGAAACAGCAATATCTTATTACATATCTATCACAGTAAAAATAAAAAGGTAAATATAAGCAACAGTGGGAGCAGAGTAGGCAATGAAAGAAAGGAAGAGGGGGCAGTCAGCACACACAGCCTAGAGGGTGGGCAGGGCAAGGTGGGTGGTCACTGAGAGTGGCCCATGGGCTGGGATTGGCCCCAAGTCCTCTATGGGAGAAACGAACATCTGGAGAAGGCTCTTCAGCCAGAACCTACTCATCGGCAGATCCCCATGGTCACAGCCACACCGAGCCATTCCTCCCACAGCCAGGGCTGAGGACCAAGGAGGCTGGTGACCAGAGGAGGAACATGTGCTCTCTTGGTAGGCGAAGCATGAAACGGAAGGCCCTGTTCACCTGTCCCTTCAATGGAGACTGCCGCATCACCAAGGACAATCGGCGTCACTGCCAAGCCTGCCGGCTCAAGCGCTGCGTGGACATTGGCATGATGAAGGAGTGTGAGTGTCCTGGGGCCACCGGGTGGGGTGGGGCTGGGCTGAGTTTGGGGGAAGGCAGTGGCTACCATTCATTCCGGCTTGACCAGTGAGGTCTGTCTGCCCTTCCTCTTCAGCTGCTGGCATCCGAGCCAAAGATGGGGTGTAAGTGGGGTAGGCAGCCTGGGGCAGGGAACCAGGACTCTAGGACCAAATGCAGCAAGGAGTCCTTTGGCCTCTGTAAAACATCAGTCACCGTAGAGTTGATTTTGACTCATGGCAACCCCACATGTGTCAGAGTAGAAGTGTTCCATTGGGTTTTCTTGGAGGTAATCTTTATGGAAGCACATTGCCAAGCCTTTCTTCCTCAGAGCTGAAGGTGGGTTTGAACCACCAACCTTTACCTTAGCAGCTGATTGCAAACCACTTGCACCACCCAGACTCCTTCTAACTGCTCCACAGGGTTTTCAGTGACTGAGTTTTTTGAACATAGATCTCCAGGACTTTCCCCCAGGGCACCTCTGGGTGGACTCAAACCCCCAACCATTTGGTTAGCAGCTAAGCCGGTTCATCATTTGTGCCACCAAGGACTGCCTGAGCCTTTCTAGAATCTGTTTATCTGTCTGGGAAGCTGGCAGGGCACCCTCTAAAGTCATGCCTACAATGAGGGCAAGGCAGGGCACCACTTCTTGAACACTTAGTTCCTCCAGTAACCTCATTACTATTCTTACACCTATCTGTTCCCTGCACCTGGGGGGAAAGGATGCAATTTATGTACCCCAGAGGTCTCTGGGCCTCAGCTTTTGGGAGAGGGCTATTGTGGGTGGGGCAGGGGTGATGGGAGAGAATAAATACTCAGAGTCTAGCTGGTATCCACTGTTCCGTCTCCATCCCAACCTTCCAGCCACACTGACCCCAGGGACAGATCTGAAGGCTGGTGCCTGGGGAGGCTAGGTGAGAAGATTCTGCAAGGGAAGCACTGGTGGTCTAGAATGGCCCTCTGAATGCAGATAGAGAAAGAGAAGTGATCCTATAGGACTTGCCATCCAGCTCTGGGCTTGGTGGAGAGGACTAATGGCACAGATTTACAGGGATATTCTGACCCACGTTAAAAATAACCCCTGGACTTTGCATCTGCCCCAGCTGTAGTACTAGTTACTTAGTAACTGGAGTGTCCATTGAATTCAGCAGACAGTGGGAGGGGCTAGCCAAGCCCTTCCTAGGCTGGGGGTGAGGGCATTGGGCCAGCCTAGGCTCAGATGCCCTCTGCACCCATAGCCCCTGCTCTCCTTGCTCACATCTGTCTGCAATGTGTACCCTGTATCCCCTCCCCTGGCCTGAGGACAGAGCCTGTGCCCTTCCAAGCTGTAAGCCTGAGGGGTCTCAGGAGGAGCTGCTAAGATTCAAGCACCTCTAGAAATCCTCCTGGCTATGACTGCTTTTGGAGGGCAGTGCCCGGAGGGCAGGTACAAGGATGGGAAATTTCTTCCTTAATGGGGAAAAAAAAAATTCTCTGGTGTTGGGAAAAAGAGGAAGTTGAGGTCCTCACCTTGAGCTCAACTTCAATGCCCAGAGCCTCCCCCTTAGCCTTGACTAAGGCTCCCCCTGTGGGTCACAGTCCCTCAGTCTTGATCCTGGCTCCCCAGCCAACACAGACAGCACTGGAAGTAGTTTCCAGGCCATCGTTCCTCCTTACCCCCACAGGAGCAAGCAGGCCTGGGCATGCTGACTGTCTAGCCCAGGCCCCAGCCCCACCCTGACTCTTGTGTTTATTCTGGAAGAAGTGGAGGCTGAGGTCTTATGAAGGAAGGAGCCTTATGAAGCTTCTTACACATTCACTTAGTGGAAGGCTTGAGGGTAGACACAAACGGGGTATAGGTTAGCACAGCCTTGCCCCCCAGGAGCTCAGAGCCACTACCGGACAAGAAGCCAACAAGAAGAGCTCAGTGTTGTGTGTTGGGAGTCAGTCAGGCTGTGCCACAGCAGTTCTGGTCAAGCCAAGCTTACTGATGTCTCTTCTCTTGTGTCCCAGGCTATCCTAAGTTAATAAAAAGAAGAAAGATAGTCTCTTAATTTGTGGTAGGAAGAACTGAGGCCCAGAAAGTAAAAATATCAGGATTAGAGTTGGAAAGCCAGCTGGTGGCCGAACTGGTACTAGAATCCAGTCAATCACAGTGAGGAGCAGCACCAGGCCTTGGGTGCATCTTGGTGCTCCCGCCCCAGAGCACCACATGGTGAGGGACTGTCAATCCAGAAATGGATGCTCACCCCAGCCCCAAATCACCTCTGTGCCTCCCAACCTTAGCCTCAGAGCTAATCCTTTGGTTTGCCTGCCCTTATGGAGTCCCATGTTCCCTGCCCTGGCTACACACTCAATAGAGGCCATTGCCCGTGCTCATCATGATGCCAGGGCAGGGAGCTGAAATAACTGAGTTAAGGATGACACTTGGCTCTCAGAGGTTGGGCCCCTAAGCTCCATTTCAAATAGAAACATTGAGCCAGCACCTGGCAGGAGCTTTTGCCTGCCCTGAAGGAAACATCCTCCAGGAAGAGATGTAGCCTTGCCTTAGGTTAGCTCAGTCCAACTACCAAGTGTCTTGTGTGTCTTGGCCTGGAGTTCTGATCAGAACCCTAGGAGAACTGCTTATTTATCACCTGAGCATGCCCTTGTCTCCAAGGCCTGGCCTCCCTGAGACAATTGAATTTTAATTTTTGTAAAACCAAAGGACAGCCCCAGGGCTGCCTAGGGAGGGAGCTGAAAACTCAGGCTCCCTTCTGGCCAGGGCAGGGAGGTAGGGCTTCTATAGAAGAGACATAGGAAGGGAAAGGGAGTGGAGATGGAAAGTGTTGACCACTTACTGTGTACCTGATACTGCGCCAGGCACATGAATTTTCTTATTTAATTTCACAACCAGAATACCAGACCCACCGTCATCAAGGTGATTCCAACTCATAGTGACCCTCATTGGGTTTCCAAGGAGGCAAATCTTTATGGAAGTAGATGATCTCATCTTCCTTCTGTGGAGTGGCTGGTGGATTTGAACAGCCAACCTTCTGGTTAGCAGTGAAATGCCTTGTTGTTGTTGTTGTTATTTGCCATCGAGTCAGCCCCAACTCATAGAGACCCCTCCTTGGGTTTCCGAGGCAGTATCACTATGGAAGTAGGATTGCCCAACCTTCCTTCTGAGGAGTGGCTGGTGGGTTTGAACCGCCAGCCTTCTGGTTAGCAGTCAAGTGCCTTAGGCACTATGCTACCAGAGCTCCTAGTGAAATGCCTTAGGCTCCTTAATTTCACAACAAGCCCTCAATATGTGAATTCTTACTCCTATTTTTTTAGTAGATGAGGAAACTAATACTCAGGGGGGCCAAAATATCATATTTCTCAGCTAATAAAGGGGTTCAGTGGTGATTCAGTGGTAGAGTTCTCATCTTTCATGAGGGAGACCGAGGTTCAGTTCCCAGCCAATACACCTCATACACAGCCACCACATCGGTGGAGACTTTTGTGTTGCTATGATGTAGAAGAGGTTTCAGGGGGACTTCCAGACTAAGATGGACTAGGAAGAACAGACTGGTTATCTACTTCCAAAAATTAGCTAATGAAAATGCTATGGATCACAACGGTCCATTCCTTCTGTGCTTGGGGTCTCCATGAGTTGGGGCCACCTGGAAGGCAGCCAACAACAAGCCAATAAAATGATGGTATTAGAATTTTATCCTGCATCTTTCTGCTTCTAAAGGCCACATTGACTACTCCCGAAGGTCAGCCTGTGGGCTCTACCCCAGGGCAGCCCCTCAGGCACCACCAGTGGTCAGAACCGCCTCCATTGTTCATTTCCCCAACACTTCCTGGGGCCCTAGAGGATAGGCTGAAGACAGCTTTGTTCCAGTAGAAGTCTCCTTTTCTCTCTGTTCAAGTCCTAGTTGACTATTTCCCTGAATCCCAAGAAATTTTATGGTTGAATTCTTGCTTCTTGTTTATGCTGTGCCTGTGCTACACAAAACCATCTATTATGTTAACTTGCTGAATGCTTTCACAGATGCATATCTTTGCTTCCCAGTGTTAGCACAGCAACTAGAGTATGTTGTTGTTGTTGTTATTTGCCGTCGAGTCGGCCCGGACTCATAGCGACCACTCCTTGAGTTTCCGAGGCAGTATCACTATGGAAGTAGGATTGCCCAACCTTCCTTCCGAGGAGTGGCTGGTGGATTTGAACCGCCAGCCTTCTGGTTAGCAGTCAAGTGCCTTAGGCACTATGCTACCAGAGCTCCTAACTAAACAAATATGTGTTAAATGAATGGATATTAGCTCCCCATTATGCTCCTCAGTATTTCTTTATCTTTCACTGGTCAGGACATCAGCAAAATTCTCCCAAACCTGATACTGTCTGTGCCATTCATTTGGCAAAGTCTTAGGACCTCTTCCCTATTGTTGTTACAGGCCACTACTGACATCTTGAAATGTTTTAAAAAAATTTTTTTTCATATTTGTAGATCTTGACTCTCCAATTCTATTCTAGGCTTCATGTGGCAGAGAACATGTCTTGCATGGGATCATTTTTGCAAGCCATTTCACACTCAGCAGGGCACTGGAACAAAGTCAAAAAAGCTACTGAGTAGCCATATAGACTGCACAGAGTCTGTCCCAAAGCTCCTGTACTTTATTCCCTGGGGAACCAATCAAATACTCTTTTGAGCCTATTTACTCTTATTTTAGATCCATGGCTTTTAACTTCAAAACATGTGTCTTCCTAAATGATAGCAGTGGTAGTTTTTGTATTCATCGATTGAGGAAATGATTAAAATTTTTTCCTGTGGAATTATTGTTGTTGTTATGTGCCGTCAAGTCAGATCCGACTCATAGCAACTCCTCCTTTGGTTTCTGAGGCAGTATCACTACAGAAGAAGATTGCCCAACCTTCCTTCCGAGGAGTGGCTGGTGGGTTTGAACTGCCAGCCTTCTGGTTAGCAGTCAAGTTTCTTAGGCACTATGCTACTAGAACTCCTTCCTGTGGAATTAGTAATGCTTTATATGAAAGAAGGCACAGTGGTAGCACTATGGTTAAAGCATTGGGCTGCTAACCAAAAGGTTGTCAGTTTGAACCCACCAGCTGCTCCGTGGGAGAAAGGCAAAGCAGTCTGCTTCCGTAAAGATTTATGGCTTTGGAAACCCTCTGTGGCAGTTAGTTCTACTCTGTCCTATAGGGTCGCTATGAGTTGGAATCAACTCAATAGCAGCGGGTTTGTTTTTTGGGGGTTTATGTGGATGATTTATATCCCAAATGGCAATAGAATCTACAGATGTGAGAATGGATGGCTTATTCAGTTCCCAGACGATGATGCCTTCCTGGAGGCCCAGGGGAGCCCCAGTTTGATATCAGTGGGTCTCAGCATTTTTTCCTCTGCTGTCTACACAGAAGATAGGGGTTGCTATTCGATGCAAGTGATTGGGAGGAAAAATGCCACAAGGTTAAACTTGATCCTCAACTTAATTTTTAAAAAGTAAATCATTTACAAACTTTGTGACTTAATTTGATTTTCATACCCTTCAAAACTGATCGGAACACTCATGTGTCGAGACTCCAAGGTTGAGAACCAGAGTTCTATGAAGCACTCATTCATGCTCAGTTATAATCAGTGTGGTATAGAGCAGTGGTTATGACCATGGATTCTACAGTTCTACTGCTCAGGGCTGAATACCAACCAGCTCCAGCAATTGTTAGCTGTGTGACTTTGGCCAGGGTATAGAAACCTTTCTAGACCTCAGTTCTCTCATCTGTACAATGGGGATAATAATAGCACCTGCCTGAGGGGACTGGTACAAAGATTGAATATATGTGAATTAATGTATTAAAAAACACTTAGAATAGGACTCAGAACATAAAAACTCTGTTATTCTTTATTATTAACATTCTTTTTTTATTACATAAAATGTGGTCATCAGACTTTCCAGCTCTCAAAAGATTAGAAGGAACTCTTAAGGAATGTCCTAGTTATCTAATGCTGCTATAACAGAACTACTGCAAGTGGATGGCTTTAATGAAGAGAAATTTCTTTTCTCACAGGTTAGGGGCTAGAAGTCTGAATTCAGGGCTCTGGCTCAAGTGGAAGGCTTTCTCTGTCGGCTCTGGAGCAAAGTCCTTGCCTCTTCAGCTTCTGCTTCCTGGTTCCTTGGAGATTCCCATGCATCTTGGCATCTATCTTACCCCATCTGTCCTCTTCTCACTTATTTTAATTGCTTTTATATTTCAAAAGACATTGACTCAAGATATACCCTACACTAATCCTGCCTCATTAATTTAACAAAGACAACCCATTCACAAATGAGATTATAACAGGCACAGAGTTTAAGATTTACAACACATATTGAGGGCACATAATTTAATTCATAACAGGGAAAGAAAGGCACACTTCTAGAGGCAGACACCAATAAGAAGAGACAACACAGAGCTTAACAGAAAAGGAGAGATTGAAAGCTATGAGAAGTAGCACAAGAACTCACATGGCGGGCTGAGTCATACAGTGCAAGGCAAATGGTCCCATACACCTGTGAGGTCATGGCTGTGCTCCTACAAAGCCCAGTAATTGTCAGGATGATACCTCTGAATCATCAAGAAAAGGTTATATGATCTTACAAGTATTCTATGACAAATATTGAAAATATTTTGCACAAAATTCTTAATATGTAAGAGGTAAGGGGATTGGCTAGTATAAGCTGTTTGCAATTGACTGCAAATCTAAAGATTGGTGGTTGAAACTTCCCAGCTGCTCTGTGGTAAAAAGGCTGGAGAGCTGCTTCCCTAAAGAGTACAGCCAAGAAAACCGTATGGGGCAGTTCTACTCTATAACACACGGGGTAGCTATAAGTCAAGGGCCAACTCAATGACAGCTAACCACAACAAAGCTTTGCTCAGTTTTCCAATGGGCAGGCAGGCAGTATGAGCAATTCCCAACACTGTGGGACACTTTCAGCATTGGTGCACTTCTCAGCGTCCTTCCCTGAGCCCAGAACAATGACCTGCACACAGCAGGTACAATCAGTCTGTCAGACTGTTGATCAAGCAGCAAGGCCAGGAAGCCTGACTAGGCTAGCCTCTGTGGGAGAAACACGGGAATTGTAAGATGTGACCTCTACCCTCAAGTAGCCTACAGTCTAGTGGATCTTGAACTTCTTAGGCTCTCTCTATAGACATTTATTAGAAGAACTATTAATCTTATAGAGGTGAAAACAATTGTGTGCCAGTTTTATGTAATAAAAAAAGGATTGTTAATAATAAAGGATAATAAGAGTTTTTGTGTACCAAGAGAAAGACTAAATGTACAGCAGGAATAAGAAATAAGACATCAGTGCAGATCAGGGAGATCAAGAAAGGCTTCATGGCAAAAGAAGCCTGTGAGCTGGGTGTTAAAGAATGGATAGCTACCAGATTGATGTGGTGTCAAATGGAAAAAAAAAGAATGGATAGCTAATGGGAAGTGAAGACCCAAGCATCTTGCATAAGAGATCTTATGTGAGAGTCAGCAAGTCATGTTCACATCTAAGCAATACCAACTTAAATAGAACAGAAATTATGTCCAGAGGCACTGAGACTGGGGTTGGTTAGGAAGACGGTACATCATGGCAAACCTTGTCTTTGGTTTGGACCTGGTGAGCAGTGGAGAGCTGGGAAAAGTTCTGGACAGGAGAGTGACACCCATAGATTCACAGGGGGTGTATCAAAATCTTGTAAGGCTGAGAAACATGCGTCTGGGCATCCATGGTGTGGCTGGCACAGCCAGCCCTCCCTAGCTCCAGTCTCATCTCCTCACCCTGCCCACCGGTTGAGGAGAGCAGGAAAGACCAGACACCTAATCTTGATTCCCCAGGCAGGGACCTTGCACACCGCCTTTCCTGGATGCTCCCTGTTCCTTCCTCTCCCACCCTGCTTGCCCTTTTAGGGTCTGAGCAGACACCCTCTATGGGAGAAAAGTTGGCAACTCTTTGGGCAGGTGAGTCAATAACTGGGTGTAGCCTCCTCCCAAACCTCCTCTTGGTATGATTTACCTCAGCTGTGCAGGGAATGCTCCATCTTTTGCCCCAGGCAGCCCTTTTCTGAGGTGCTTGTGACTCCAGCCACCCACTCCCATCCCCCATAGGCTCTCCCTCAGCCCCCACAAACCTCTCTTGTCCTCTTCCCACCTGAAGACACCCAGTGGGGCTATCTCAAAGCCCAGAACCCACCCACTCCAGGGTTCTGGTTCCTTTCCCTACTCTTGTGAAACTTTCCAGTTTTGTGGGCAGATGCCCTGGCAGCACCCGCACAGAGCAAGTATTTACAGGCCAAGGGCCCCAGTGCCCACTCCTGCCGTCAGCGCTGTGCAAGCCCTGGCCAGGAGGTCTGTTTGCCTGGCTGCTGTGCCAGCCATCCTTGCTCCCAAACCAACCCTCCCAGGCAGCTGCCCAGCACATCGAGGCAGAACCTCCTCAGAAACCCCTGCACCAGCTTGAGGGTGGTGTAGGGCCTCCCCATGGTGGACACCCTAACATCTGGACATCTTCTAGATTAGTCACATGAGGTGTTAGAATCAGGGACGTTAAGAGGTCATGAAAATTTCCTTTGAGGTCATGAAAATTTTAAGAGGCTGTTTTCCAGGGAACCAAAGAGGCAAAGTCTGTCTGAATTGGTCAGAGTAGATCAGATCCCTGAGTTCCATGTCTGGAAATGTGGAACTGGGGATGGTGTGGTAGTTGGCCTGGTTGAGTGGCTGGGCAGCTGGTGGTAGTATTCCCCATGATGAGACTGGTAATCAATTCCATGGTGGAAAATCTACTGTGAGCAGCTGAGTGGCTGCCTTAGGGAATGTGGTCTGCTTCCTGTATATAAGCAGGAGCCTTGGGGAATGGTCTCTAGCCTAGGGCACACTTGGACCCTGCATGTAGCCTGCCATGCTTTGCCGACCTTGGGACTTACAATGGACTTAAATTAATGGCCTGCCGTGTGGTTTGGTAACATCAGGACTGTGCCTTTTTTTTTTTTTTCATTTGTCAACTTTGGGCTTCTCAGCCTCAGCAGCCAGCAGCTGTCTGAGTGAAGAAACGCCTCTAGCTCCATTGGGCCAGGAGCAGGAGGCAGAGCTGGACCCCAAGGTTGAGGGGCTTTCACCCAGCTCCTAGAGCCTGACACTTTGCACTTGGACTTAAAGCCTCCAAACTGTAAGATAATAAACTCCTGTTTGTTAAGGCCATCCCAGTTGTGTTATATTTCTGTCAGAGTGCCACTAGGTAACCAGAACAGATGGCTATGTAGAGGAGTCTTTTCAGTATACCCTGGCACCCAACACAGAATTTCTACACAGTTTCTTTTTCATCCTCATCTAATGTTTCATTTAGCACCAGGGAATATGGGGGTGGGTGTGAGGGTTGGGAGGGAACTTACATTTTTTGAGCATCTTGCTGTGCCAGGCATACATTAAATTCTCACAAGACTCTCCCCTTTGAGGTAGATGTTGTTACCCATCTCCCCCTTCCTCCCCAATTTACAGAGGAAGGAACAAGAAGTGGACATTAGAAGTTACAGGGCCCTATCTTCTCGTTTTACAACTGAGAGAACAAAGGCCCAGAATGTTTAAATAGTTTTCCCAGCTTGGTCTTGAGAACCCAGATCATTGGCTGCACAGACCATCCTGGCTCTCAAATCCTTGTTTTCCTTCTCTCTCATGGGTCTGCCTTTTTTATCATAGAAAGCCTCATTTTCCTTCCACCCTATGAGGTTGGAGAACACAGGGCACGTGAGCCCCCAAGGCAGGAGGGCCTGGGCTAGATCCCCCAGTATGATGTAGAATGACCCTCCCCCCAGCATACTGTGCCTTCAGCAACTGGAAGAGGTTACTTGAAGAAGCTGCGGGCCCACCCCTATATCTCCTCTCCCCTCTCTGTAGTCATCTTGACGGACGAGGAGGTGCAGCGGAAGCGAGAGATGATCCTGAAGCGGAAGGAGGAGGAGGCCTTGAAGGACAGCCTGCGGCCCAGGTTGTCCGAGGAGCAGCAACGCATCATCACTATCTTGCTAGATGCTCACCACAAGACCTACGATCCCACCTATGCCGACTTCAGCCAGTTCCGGGTATGTCCACCTAATGACTAGAAGGATGAGTGACTTTGTGGGGAGCCACTGGGTTTAGTCATGGCCTGGGAAGTAGAGACAGAGGGCGATGGGCCTCCTGGCACAAAACCAGAGGAAGGGCGTGGCTGCTTTGCCCTCTGGCACTGGGAAGGCCATCCCCTCCCAAACCCTCCCCTGCTTCAAGCCATTCCCATCAGAGATCAGGGCCAAGGCAGGAAGGTGGCCCTGAAATGTAAGCTTCTGACACCCTGTCTTTCCCTTCCAGCCTCCAGTTCATGGGGATGAAAATGGAGAGAGCCATCCCTCAAGCTCTTCCTCACCAAATACACCCAGCTTCTCTGGTGACTCCTCCTCCTCAGATCGCTACTCAACCCCTCCAGGTAAGGAGGGCCACACCCACTGAGCTTGGGACAGAAGGCTGCCTAATATGAAGGGACCTCACAGAGTATTCTCAGAACAACCTCTTGTTTATGGATGAGGGTTAACTTTCCAAAGACCCATGCTGAGAGGACGCTAAGCCTCCAAAGTCCAAGCTCTTTCCTCTAAGTCAGTCTTCTGCTGTGGCTCTCTCCCCAGTGTGTATTGGATGGGGGGGATGTTTAAACAGTGTTTTGAGTCTGGTTCCTTTGGTAAATGAAACTTGGTGTGGGGAGGAGAACATGTGGGTTCCACTGCAGCCCACTCTCCCCCAAGCCCTGGGGACCCTATAGCCCTGGAGGACCTGTCACCTCCGTCTGGGTGTAATGCTTTTTTTCTTAAAGTCATTTTTTTGTCTTCCTTTTCATTCTTCCTTCCTTTCCCTCCCCTGCCTGTGTCCATCCTCCCCCTACCTCATCCCAACCCTGCTGTCCTTTGCTGGGGACTACAGGAGGGCAGGCATGGGAAAGCCCTATCTTCCTCAAAAGACTAGCATTCTCAGATATGGTACTTCCAGACTCAGCACACAGATCCAGGATAGATGTCCAACTGTTGTTGTTGTTGTTATGTGCCGTCGAGTTGGCCCCGACTCATAGCGACCCCTCCTTGGGTTTCCGAGGCAGTATCACTACGGAAGTAGGATTGCCCAACCTTCCTTCCGAGGAGTGGCTGGTGGGTTTGAACCGCCAGCCTTCTGGTGAGCAGTAAAGTGCTTTAGCCACTATGCTACCAGAGCTCCTGATGTCCAACTAGACAGGGACATTGTATCTGCCCACCCGGAAGTCTTAGGAGAGGGGTGGTCAGGAGCTGATTAGCACTGGCCATTATATGGATTGACTGACCCTCCGAGCCTCTCCCCTTGTAGGGACCCTGCCCATGTATAGGTGTTCTTTTACCCACCTTCCTGCTCTTTTCATGTGATGGCGTGTTCATTTGTATGAATGAGTCTATATAAGTTATACATTGGTCTGTACTTTGGCTTTTAAAAAATACCTCCCTATTATATAGGAGTGGGCATTTGGCTGCTAACCAGAAGGCCAGTGGTCCAAACCCACCAGCAGCTCCCTGGGAGGAAGATGGGGCAATCTACTTCCATCAATTTACAGCCTTTGGACACCCAAATGGGGGTCGCTATGAGTCGGAATCGACTCAATGGCAGTGAGTTTGGTTTTTGTTTTTAGCACCTATCAGAAGTTAGAAGGAGGCCTGGTGGTGCAGTGATTAAGCACTCAACTGCTAACTGAAAGGTTGGAGATTCAAACCCACCAGCTGCTACACGGGTGAAATAATCTGGTGTTCTGCTCTCCTAAATATTTCAGCCTAGGAAACCCTCTGAGGCAGTTCTGCTCTGTCCTGCAGGGTTGCTAGGAGTTGGAATTCACTTGACAGCACAGAACATCAGAAGTTAATTGGTTTGAAGTGTTCCCACCAGTGATATACTCAGTAGAATGTATACAGTGAAACCTGTAAGAGCCAGAACTCACAGGACTACTTTGCTTTAACAGATCTTGCAAGATAGTGTGCAGTTTACCACTTTTCTATCTCTCTCTAGTAATGGAAAACATTATTTGAGTTTTCCTTCTCTGACAGGTTTCCACCTTACACAGGTCACGGCTTTCTCTGGTTTTACTATATTTATTTAAAAATTCAAACATGTTTTTATTTTTAATTTTTAACAATTATTATATAAAAGTAATGCATGTTCATTGTAGACATTTAGAAAATATAAACTAAATAAATATATAATATACAACTATATATGTATGTGCATCTATGCATATTTACATCTCTCCCTTTCTATCCATATAATCTTTAAACAACTGTGGTCACTTAATCTGAAATATAATCACTGTTAATACCTGGTGTATCTCCTTCCCATATTTTTTTCAACACATATATGTATTCAGAAATAGAATTACCCTTCATACAGCCTAGTAACTTGGTTTTTTTCCCTTAATTGTATCATAGTTCCATGTCATTCTATATACACCTAGAATATCATTTTTAATGACTGCATACTATTCTAGGAAATGAATGTATAATAACATATCTAAATTTTCTATAATTAGGTATCTAAACAGTTTCCCAGTTTTCATAAGCATTGCAGTATACTTGTGACTAAATATTTGCACTCATTCTGATTTTTTTCCCTTATGATAAGTTTATAAAAGCAGGACTTCAAAGAGAACAAATAATTGTCCAATAGCTTTCTCGCTTGCTAGCATAAACTTACACCCTTGTTAACACTCCAGCACAGCATGGGACTGACTGCCTGCTTCCCCACATCTGATACTGGCATCAGCATTTAAGCATATTTATTTCTAGTTTTAGGAGCCCTGGTGGCACAGTGCTTAAGCGCTTGGCCACTAACTGAAAGGTCAAACCCACCAGCCGCTCCACAAGAGAAAGATGTGGCAGTCTGCTTCTGTAAAGATTACAGCCGTGGAAATCCTGTGGGGCAGTTCTGCTCTGTCCTGTAGGGTTGCTATGAGTGGGAATCGACTTCACGGCAATGGGTTTATTTCTAGTTTTTTAAGTGAAAATATAGATGTTCTGATTTGCATTTCTTTGATCATTAGTGAGGTTGAACATTTTTCCTCACAAGCTCATTAGACCCAAATTCATTTCAGATTTGAAGTCGTTAGACAGTAACACAGGCCTTTAAAGCCAGGCTGAAAATCAGGGCTTAAGGAAGTATTTTTTCTCCAAGTTTCTCTGGCTCTTTGATTTTACTGTCCAAACACTGCTGAAAAACAGACAAGAGGTGTCCCAGAGGGAAGCCTGGGGTTGAAGAGTGACCCTATGAAGACATCTAGTCACAGGAGGTCCTCACAGGGGCAAGGAGAAGGAGGCCTGGCCGGAATATCCTCAAATATTTCCTTTTCTTACCTCACTCTTCCCCCAGACATGATGGAGCCATCCAGTTTCTCCAACATGAACCTGAGTGGAAGAGACTCTGATGACCCTTCTGTGACTCTAGACCTGTCCCAGCTCTCCATGCTGCCCCACCTGGCAGACCTGGTCAGTTACAGCATCCAAAAGGTCATTGGTTTTGCCAAGATGATACCAGGATTCAGGTAAGATGTTCTGTGACATTGGAGAAACAGAATCCTAGACTGAGCTAGAAGAAGGCTTGGAGGTCACCCATCCACTGCTTCCCAAAAATAAAGACCCCTACCCCAGACCACCTAAATCAGAATCTCTAGGGTAGCCCCCAAATCAAAACCAAATCCAAATCCATTGCCATTGAGTTGATGTTGACTCAGTGATCCTATAGGACAGAGCAGAACTGCCTGATGGAGTTTCCAAGCCTGCAATCTTTACAGAAGCAGGCTGCCACATCTTTTTCCCACAGAGCAGCTGGAGGGTTTGAACACCGACTTATCAGTTAACAGTCAAGTGTTTAACCACTGCACCACCAGGGCTCCTTCAGGGAGGTAGGTCCAGGAATCTGTATTTTAGGCAGTGCACCAGGTGCTTCTGATGCAGCCAGCCCAGCATGACTCTATGGATGGGCCAGCACTGGAGCTAGTTTAGCCTCAGTATTTTCTGGATTATAGAACAAAAGCCCAAAGGGGGTTCAGTGTCCAGCCTAGGATTGTTTTCTAGTAGTATTGGAAGCAGAGTGGCAGAGTCAGATCTAGAACTCCTAGTTCATGCTTTGTCCACTCCAACTGACTTGAGTCTAATCTTTATACTCCCCTTTTAAATTAAACCTGCATTAACCCCAACACCCAATATTGAGACCAGAATGAAATGATAGAGAGGAGAAAGGATTGATCACATAGACTTATGAATAATATCAAAATCCTATAGGAGTCAGGTTTACTGGTACATATGACCAAGGCATCCTTCACCCAAAATTATATTAAAAGTCTATTTCCTGACCATAAACAAACAAACAAAAAAAAAACCCAAACTCACTGCCATTAAGTTGGATCTGACTCCTTGGGTTCCTGAGGCAGTATCACTACGGAAGTAGATTGCCCAACTTTCCTTTCGAGGAGTGGCTGGTGGGTTTGGACCGCCAGCCTTCTGGTTAGCAGTCAAGTGCCTTAGGCACTATGCACCCTTCCTGATCATACTGAGACTTTTTTTTTTTTTTGCAAAAATAGGTAGGTATCAGGAGTTCTACTGGAGTGGAGAGCCTCTATTATGGATTCAATCACAGGTCTGCTGTGTGATATAGCTTATAACAAGTATTTTATTATTTCAATAATGGCATGCATAGTACTTACATTTAAATATTTATGAAGTATTCAATATTCTTAAAACAATATAATATTGATGTTTTAGGTAGATGCAGTTGCCTTTATATTTATATATGTTTACATCGTCATTGTTTTCAGAAGTTCAGTTGGTACATTGCCATAACATACATATACAGTGTGGTTGGAAAATGGAAAGAAAGAAATATCAAGCAATATTGTTATTATCTCATGTAGTGGCAATAGCTGTCATTGTAGCAGAGCTGCGACTGCTCAGTACTGCTGCCTAGATACCGATGTGCACAGCCGGTGGTGGAACACTGGGAGTAGGAGAGTGCTTGATATTGGCCAGTGCTAGATGGAAATGAATATGAAGTACTGTTTATTGTTTATTGTGGATCTCTCTGATGTGTAGGGAAGCCATCAATTACTGTCTAAATTGCTACACTTCTTTCTTTCTTTTTTTCATTGTGATTTGGGTGAAAGTTTACAGAGCAAATTCACTTTCCATACAGCAGTTCACATCCACTTTGTCTCATGACATTGACTACATTTTACCACGATGCAGCAGTTCCCCTCCCACTTCCTCCCCATAGTTAAGTCTTCCCTGTGTCCTTCCCTGAGTGTATCTTAAATTGCTACATTTCTTGCTAAACAAAAATAATCCCTTTGTTAGCCGTTCCTATTCATGGTGACCCTATGTGTTAAAGAGTAGAACTGACCTCCACAGAGTTTTCTTGGCTGTAATCTTTTCAAAGACCTTTCTCTGCAGAGTGGCAACCACCAATCTTTTAGATTAGCAGTTGATCACAAACTGTTTACACTACCCAAGGACCTTCATTTGCAGCTAGATGATGGTAATTCACAGAACTAAACCCAGCGCTTCCCAGTTTGTTTCTGCCCTGAGACAGCTGGGTCTATGTTATAGGTAGTCCCTGATTTACAGCTGGGTTCTGTTCAGACACCTCTGTTGTAAATTGCTTCTGATGTAAGCTGAATATGTTATTTGAAATTAACAATCTTATGGTATGAAATGGTGAATAAAATCATGCCATAGGCCTGGTCTGCAATGAAGTTGGCGTCAGTGTCTTAACAAAGTTAGAGTCATAACGGCTGTCAGGCACATGCACAGTTCAATTGTTGTATGTCATTAGAGCTGAACATTATCCAACTTTCTATCCTTTATGACTCCTAATACTGATACAAACTTCTCTGTAGACCAGTCCATATGTAACCTGCTGTATGGCAGTGGTTTGAACAGTAAATCATAACATTGAACATCTGTGAGTGAACATGTGAGTATGATAACATCAGCAAATTACACTCTGTGGCATTGTATATATAACTAACAATAATACGTACAAAAAAAAAAAAAAAAGGATGGTCATAAGCGTGTTTTCTCGTAACTTGAATACATCAAAGTAGGAGTCTCCCTGTAGTGGATTCCTCCCAGCAAACCAATACCAGGAATCCAACAATGCTCTTCCCTTGAGATTAATGTGAAAATTGTGAAGAAAAGAAAAACATTAAACATAGCTAAGACACTCTTACTGAGTTGAGTTGCACATTTTGGTAGCCAGAGAAGGAGGGAGGACCACTTTGGCAGCGAGACAGAAACAAGAGCCAGGTGTCTGAGCCCAGCATTGCACTCTACCTGGGATTCACCCTCCAGAGCCTTTCCCTGGAACTGACAACACATTCCTCTCAGTACAGGTGCCAACTCCCTCCTCCACTCTTTAGATTACTGCTCGCAAACTCCATGTATTCCACAAGCTTGTTTTGTGTAAACAGCCAGAGAAAAAACATTTCAAGGTGCCGACATGTACACTGGAGCACCCAGTTTCCATTCCTAAGGTGGAGGGCAACCCTCAGCTATGCAACTTCATCCTTCTCCGCTCTAGTGGGGAGTTGGACGAGGCCCTCCCCAGATGCTGAGGTGTGGTGATTCTAAGGAGCCGGATTGAGCAAGCATATGGGAAAACTGTCCTAGAAAGAAAGTTACTCATTTAGCCAGTGTTCTGGTTACCTAGTGCTGCTCCAACAAGAATATACCACAAATGGGATGGCTTTAATGAACAGGAGTTTATTCTTACAATTTGGAGGCTTTAAGTCCAAGTTCATAGTGCCAGGCTCTAGGGGCTGGGTGAAAGGCCCTCAGCCTTGGCTTCAGCTCTGCCTCCTGCTCCCAGCCCACTGATGCTTCACTCAGACAGCTGCTGGCTACTGAGGCTGCCAAGCCCAAGGTCGACAAGTAAAAAGACACAGTCCTGATGTTATCAAACCACATGGCAGGCCATTAATTCAAGTCCACTGAAAGTCCCAAGGTCGGCAGAGCATGGCAGGCTGCTGTGCAATGACACGGCTACATGCAGGGTTCAAGCATGCCATAAACTAGAGACCATTCCCCAAGGCTTCTCCTTATATACAGGAAGCAAACCACATTCCCTAAGGCAGCTAGCTACTCAGCTGCTCACAGTAGATTCCACCATGGAGTTCATTACCAGTCTCATCATGGGGAATACTGCATCCAGCTGCCCAGCCACTCAACCAGGCCCAGCCAAGTTGACACACAAACTAAACTACCACAGCCAGATTACCCTGAGCCAGCCTCTCCACTAAGTAACCTGAGACCCTCCTTTTCTTCCATGCCCTTGGCCACTAGCCCTTAAATCAGCTGCCAAAAACTCAACTTCAACTCATGTGGACCCTGTGTGTGTCAAAGTAGAGCTGTGCTCCATATGGTTTCCATTGGCTGGTTTTTCAGAAGTAGATAGCCAGACCTGCTTTCCTAGGCACCTCTGGGTGGACTCAAACCACCAACCTTTCAGTTAGCAGCCAAGTGATTAACAATTTGTGCCATCGAGGGTTGCCCTTGGTGGACACCCCCCATATGCATTGACTCAGATAGTACTACTCTCTCTTCACTTTCTCTCCCCATGGCTGAGCTGAAGTCTGTTCCTTCCCTGTCCTCCCAAGCCTCCTTTGCCCCAGAATTCTTGTCTAGCCCTGCAGTTGTGGCCAAAGTAAGTTACATAGGAGCAGATACTAGAGATGCCTAGCTACCAATGCAAAATTGATTAAATTGATCCTGCACAGACTTGGGTTGGCTTCTCTGTCTTCAGAATGACTTGAGAAATCCCAGAATGGAATGTTTTCCTATAAAAAGGGGACACGCCTTGACAAGAGCTCTCTAGAGGCACACTGATATGGACACTCTTTGTGACCAGACGGAGGTGATGCTGAGCCTGACCTGGAGGCCAAGCCCAGCCTCCAGTGGGCCCAGGCAGGGCCAGGCCAACAGCTCCCTGGTTCTACTGGTTTCCATGCTTAGGGGCTCTGTTCTTCCAAGAAGTGAAAGAACAGTGGCTACATCCCTGGTGGCTTTGATCTTGCTGCCTGTAGGCAGGAGCGGAGGGTGTGGAGAGAGCAGGATGAGACTTTTGTGTGGGTGAGTGGAGCAGGGGAGGAACAGGATGAGACTCAAATGCGGGCATGGGACCAAAGTGGGGTGGAACCGGACTGGTCTGGACTGGGTGTGAACTGTGCTGCAGTGTGTGGCCTTGGCCCTGCTCCCTTCCTCCACCTCTTCCCTCAGCCTCTCAGTTTGTGCTCCACAAACCTCCCTCTTTGTCAACCTTGTAAAGAAATGCACAGAAGCGGTAGTGTCAGTAGTGGCAGCTTAATGGCCAGGAGCAGCCTTGGATCTAAGAATCAAGGACCCCCCCAGGCTTCACTGACAAGGGTGGTGGATGAGGGACCAAACCCAAACTGCTGAACGGCTTCAGCATCACTGCCATTTCCATTCCTTGATCCAAAAGCCTGGGGATCATAATGCTTCCCTCATCCTGTGCCCAGCCCTCCACGTTCATTCATTCATTCATCTCTCCAACAAACAGTTTTCTTATATCAACCGGTAAGGATAAAAGTTGACTAGGACACAGTCCTGGACCTCCAGGGATTCAGTGTCTGATGGAAGAGATAAACCAAAACAACAAAACAAAACCTACTACCATCCAGTCAATTCTGACCCATAGCGATTCCCATTTAGTTTCCAAGACGGTAAATCTTTACAGAAGTAGATTGCCTCATCTTCCTTCTGTGGAGCGGCTAGTGGGTTTGAGTCACCAGCCTTCTGGATAGCAGTCAAATGCTTTAGGCACTGCACCACCAGAGCTCCTATGAAAGAAATCCAAAAACCATATTCACTGCTGTTGAGTCGGTTCCGACTCATAGCGACCCCACCTTGGGTTTTGAGGCATATCTCTACGGAAGTAGATTGCCCAGTACTGCGGAAAGATAAGAGCTCCATCTCCTCCTGGGGCGCGGGTACTGTGGGAGTGCAGGAGAAGAGGGGCTAGATTCGGCCTGGGAGTAGGGTAGGCAAGATGAAATAGCAATCTATTTTCAGAGCATACAGGAGGTTTTCAGAAGCAGCCTCAGGTGAAGACTAATCAAGTTATAAATCTTTCCCAGATCCAGGGGGGGAGGCACATAGTATGAGCTGGCACCTGTCCAGGAACAAGGGCTCGTGGATGTCCCTTTTAAATCCAGCTCTATCCCTGTCCACCACCATCCCCAGTTCTGGCTGTGAACCGCATTGAAAAAGTCCTTGTATTCCCAGGCTGGGCAGGGATGTAGTAACATGGCATCATTTCAGTTTACTTTCATAGAGATAATAAGCAGTTATCCATTAAAATCTCTGGCCAAAGCCCCATGGGATATGTGTTTGATTTTGGTCATCTATTTTGAGCAGGGCATTGAGTAAGAGGTTATGTATAAGATATCCTTCACAGTATTATTTATAATACCAAAAGTTAGAAAAAATCAAAATGTCCAAATAAATAAATAAAATAGGTAAATTGGAGACTAAATAACTTGTGTATATTGATACAATGTTATGATGTAGCTTTATGCATTGCAAGGAAAAACCAGGCCAAAGAATGTTTGGTGATGTAGCAAATGGGATATAGATTAGTATACTCATTTATCTAAAGAAAAAAGATATTTGCAAAGAGAAAAGATAGGAAGTAAATATATCAAAATGTTAACTGTGGTTATGAACAATTTATATTTGCTTTGATGTATTTTTTGGTATTTTCTAAAAATTTAACAGTGAACGTGTTTTACACATATTCTGAGTTAAAAATAAAATGAGAGTGATGTTTGCTTTCATTTTACTAACTGTGGATTGAGCATCTAGAGAAAAGTGACAAGGATGGTGAGATGTCTAGATACCATGGCATTAACTAAAATAACCCAGGCCCACTGCTGATGAGTTAACTCCTACTCAAAGCAATCCTATAAGACAGAGTAGGATTTCCCAGACTGTAAATCATTATGGAAGCAAACTGTCATATCTTTCTCCCAAGAGTGGCTGGTGGGTTTGAACTGCCAACCTTTTGGTTAGTGGCCAAGTGCTTTTAATCACTGCACCTCCCATGGGTCTCTACCATGTCATTAGGTCTGTCTGTTCAGTGGTAGAATTCTGGCCTTCTTGGTACACCTCTTATGCAGCCACCATCCATTGGTTCATGGAGGCTTCCATGTTTCTATGATGCTGAACAGGTTTCAGTGGAGTTTCTAGACTAAGACAGACTAGGAAGAAAGGCCTGGTGATCCACTTCCAAAAATTCATGCAGTGAAAACATGCAACCAGTCATGTTGCAGGACCAGTCAACATTTTGTTGCCTTATGTATGGGTTGCCATGAGTTGGGGTGCTGACTTGAAGGCAGCTAGCAACAACAATATCCTGAAGAAGACTAAAGGGGACATGGTACCTTTTTCAAATGGTTAAAGGGATATTCTGTGACTGGAATGTCTAGTTTTGTGTTCCTGATATAAGCAATGGGTGAAACGTGTCATCCATTGTATGAATCGTAGTTCAATAGAAGAAGGGGACTTTTTACCCCAGAACTAACGACCTCATGGCTGCATTTAGAAGTCATGAGCTCCCTAGCACTAAAAGAATCCCAGAGGCTACAGAAGAACCATCTGTCAGGAATGCTAAAGAAGGAATCTGACCACATCATCTCTAAAGGGTCCTTCCAACTCTAGAATTCTGTGGGGGCATTTTCAGTGCAGTTCCTTTGTTGCCATTCTGATCATGCAAGTCTTTTCATTCCCCATCACCTGCTATCTGTTGATATAGAACTCTTCATCAGTTAACATGCACTTCCCATATTTTTCACATCCAAATACAGCCACAGAGAGGATGTCAGCCTATCTAAGGAGATCCGGGAGAAAGCAGAAAGAGAAAGGGGGGAGAAACCAGAAGCCAACTGAACTGTGGACTCTGCTTTCTCTTCACCCTTATTCAGCGCAGCTCATGACTCACAATAGTGGAACTAGTCACTGGCCTCTTGACTCAACCAACGCATATTTATTGATCCTCTCCTTGTGCTCAGAGCCCAACGATTAGTTTGTGGGCAGTGCTAAAGTAATTAAGAAGTGGTAATGACCCTCAATGGGAGCAGCGATTGTTTAGTGGTAGAAATCTCGCCTTCCATGCAGGAGATACGGGTTCAATTCCCAGCCAATGCACCTCGTACACAGCCACCACCCATCTGTCGGTGAAGGCTTGCGTGTTGCTACAATGCTGGGTTTCCAAACTAGTATGAATGAGAAAGAAAGGCCTGGCAATCTGTTTCTGAAAATCAGCCAATGAAAACTCTATGGATTATAAAGGTCCAATCCGCAGCCAATCCTGGGGGTGGTGCAAGACCAGGTAATCTTTTGTGAACTGGATGTGCATGTGGTCACCATGAGTCAGGGGTCAAGTCGATGGTAGCTAACAACAGTAGGCCCTCAAAGAGCTTGGCAGGCTGCTGGGTATCTTGTTTTTATCTTTCACAGCAATGTCTGGTCTTACTGAGGGCAGAAAGGGCCTGGGGAAGAGTGGTGCCAAATGCTACCAAAGTTGTGCATGACAATATACGGAGCATCACCAAACCCACTGGCTGGTGTCTGGGCCAGCATGGCAGTGTTAAGTGCATCTCGGGTCTCATCTATGAAGAGAGCTCTGGGGTGCTCAAGGTTTCCCTGGAGAACACGATCCACCACACTGTCACCTACACTGAACCTGCTAAGTGCAAGACTGTTACGGCCATGGACGTGGTTTATGCACTCCAACGCCAGGGATGTACTCTCTATGATTTTGGTGGCTAAGGTGGAATTTACATGTTCATTTTCTGCAGCAACACTAACGGCCCTTTTCAGGGCCACCCAGCTTATGGAGAGCTTACATGTAAGAGCCAGAGACAAGCATATAAAGAACAAAACTAAAGGGAAAAGGGCAAAATAAAAGCACAGGTTATATGCAGTGAGTCATAAAGGAATGGCTCTAATTCTACTAGAGAGAATTGGGAGGGGGGTCCCAACAGGGACCATATTTGGGGTGGGGCCAGAAAGGTGAGCTAGAGCATTACAGGAAGGGTGTCTGGCTGGAGCTGTCACATGCTCAGAGGCACGTTGGTGTGAGAACACACAGCAGCTGAATGTAGGGTAAGTAGCCCACTGGTACTGGAATGGAGGACTGGTGGAGTTCAGTGGAAAGCAGGCTGGAAAGACAGTTTGTAGTCAAGTAACAGAGTGCAGGCTTAGTCCAGGAGTGAGGGAGAGCCAGTGAGGATGTCTGAATACAAAAATGGTGTTTCCTTCTGGTAGCAGTAAGAAAGTAATGAGAGAACTGAGTCCCAGATTCCAGTCAGGAGGCTATTGTAAGAGACATTGTAAGAACCAGAGCAGTTCTGGTGAGGGTGGGAAGGAAGTCCAGTGCTCAAGAGAGGTCCTGGAGACAGAGTTGGCTAAGCTTTACTCCTGGCAGGGACAGGAGCAAAAGGAGGAAGAGGAAATTTTGAAAGACTGGGAGCTGTTGAAGATGACTCTGGCCATTTGCAGACAATCGGATTCATGACATAATGTCAGGGGCTTCCTTAGCTTGTCTTCCTTTCCCGAACTCTGGCTGCTCAGGCCTTGAAGACCATGGAAATTCAGTGAGTTTTCTTTGCCTAGTTGTTGGACTATTTCACTTATCATCTTGGCACATGATCACAGTCTTGACTTGTTCTCCCTCAAGGGATGGTCTTTTCCTTTCCACCAGGCTAGAGGCTTGTTAATAGAGGACCCAGGGCACCTACTGGTCACCTGACATATGTATACCTGCCAAAACACTAAACTATATCTTCATGACCTGAAGATCTTGAACAGTAACCTGAGCTCCTTCCCTGCCCTTCCTGCAGAGACCTCACCTCTGAGGACCAGATCGTGCTACTGAAGTCAAGCGCCATTGAGGTCATCATGTTGCGCTCCAATCAGTCCTTCACCATGGACGACATGACCTGGACCTGCGGGAGCCAGGACTACAAGTACCGTGTCAGTGATGTAACCAGAGGTGTGTCTGGCCTCTGATCCTCCCTCCCTAGCTCCCAGACTCTGGCTCCACCCTTCCTGGGCCCATGGGCCCCCATCAGGCACACGGGAGGGGGCTGAGTAACAATAGGGAGAGAAGAGGGGGTCAGGTCCAGTCAGGGTTGGAGGTGGGATGGGGTGAGGTGGGTGGCTCTCTGCTCTGCTACAGCCCCTGCTGTTCTCTCTCATAGCTGGACATAGCCTGGAGCTGATCGAGCCCCTCATCAAGTTCCAGGTGGGGTTGAAGAAGCTGAACCTGCACGAGGAGGAGCATGTCCTGCTCATGGCCATCTGCATCGTCTCCCCAGGTAGGGTGCCTTGCAGTGTGGAATCAGGACCTGGGAAGTGGGGTGTGAGAAGGACACGGCACTGGTGAGGGCCAGAGGGCAATCTAGAGGGAGAAGTGAGCAAAAGGAGAGGCAGACAGGAAAAGGCCCACTTGGCTGGGTTTGCACAGCCCCTATGGCACGTGTGTGTTGCAGGATCCCTCACTGCCTTTGGCTCTGGACAGCATATGTATACCTGGAAAGGCTGTCAAGCCACAGACAATCCTGGTGTTTCCAACACTCAGTCTTTGCTCTTGTGTGGATTGGAGAATACGTCCCTGAATTTGAATTTCCCTTTGGGGGACAAGAACCTGATAGAAGGTTCTGACTGATTTTGGAGGCAGGAGCCTGTGATCCTGACCCCTTATGTCTGTTTGGGATAGGAAGAGGGAGAGAAGGCAGAAGTCCAGAGGGTGTTGTATTGGTGGTGAGGCCCAAAGGGGGCAGCCCTGCCTAGTGGTGTCTGTATGGTGAGGGGATGCTTTCTTGGGCCAATAGCCAAGAAATGGACATGAGCACCCTCCCTCACCCAGCATTCATGCACTTACTCATTCATGCACTCGGCCGCAATTCATTGAGCACCCCACCCCCAGCCAGGCATCATGCTAGGCATAAGGATTCATCTAGCAGTAGCAAGAAAAACATAGACTTCTCTCTCGTGAAGTTTAGGAGGAGATATTAACAAATAATTACTAGTTAACAACTAATTCCTAATATGATAGGTTTTAAAAGTAAAAGTGCATGATGCCATTGGAATGTATAATAGGAGAGAACCTAACTGCAGCCTGGGGCCGGAGAAGAAGGAGTGGTCAGGAATGGCCTCTTGGAGAAACATCTTTTAAGGTGCTACCTGAGTCCTTGGCTGCTAACCTAAAGGTTGGAAGTTCAAATCCCCCAGCAGCTCTGCTAGAAAAGGACCTATCTGCTCCTGAGATTACAGCCTAGAAAAGCCTATGGGGCAGTTCTTCTCTGTCACACGGGGACACCATGAGTCAGAATCAACTCCTAACAACAACAACCTGAAAGATCAGTAAGAGTCAGGCAAGGATAGAAGAGTTCTGGATAGAAGGCACATGAAACCTGGGAGCCGGACAGCACGGCCCGTTAGGGTGCTGACGGGAGGGCTGGGCGTAGAGAAAGAGGAAGAGAGGCAAGGGGAGGGCAGGGCCAGATGGGCCCCGGAAGGGCCTTGGGACGTCTTCCTAAATGCAGTGGGAGGTCGCTGAGGGGCTTTGGACAGGACAGTGGTGTCACAGGTAAGGAGCTGCCCAGGGGTAGCTTAGCTTAGGAGGGTGCTGAGATTAGGTATCTATGGGTGGGGCGAGTGAGTGGTGAGGACCCAGCTTGTAGTTCCCATGCCTCCTCTGTCTTATGCCCACAGACCGCCCCGGGGTGCAAGATGCAGCCCTCATTGAGGCCATCCAGGACCGCCTGTCCAACACACTGCAGACCTACATACGCTGCCGCCACCCGCCCCCAGGAAGCCACCTGCTCTATGCCAAGATGATCCAGAAGCTGGCCGACTTGCGCAGCCTCAATGAGGAGCACTCCAAACAGTACCGCTGCCTCTCCTTCCAGCCCGAGTGCAGCATGAAGCTCACACCCCTCCTGCTTGAGGTGTTTGGCAACGAGATCTCCTGACCAGGGCAGCCTGCACCGGTGCATGGGCCAGGCCGCCCATTGGAGCTCTGTGCCCAGGCCATGGGCTGCCTGCCCACCCTGGAATTCTTCCCTTCCTTCCTCCCACCTCCCCGCCTAGCCCACGCTCTCTCCTGCCTAACCTAAACACCAGGCCCCCTTCCCTGCAGACCTCAGTCAAGAGGAATTGCTGTCTATTTTGCAAAGAAACTCAAGTCGGGGCAGAGGGCAGAGGCTAAAAGGCGGGGCCCTGCCCAGGGAAGCCCCCACCACTCCAGAAATGGCTGCTGGCTGGTGCCTAGGGAGGAGGAGAAATGCATCCATTCCTCAGGGACCAAGATACCTGTACCTCCCTCCCACTCCAGGCCCACCTGTCCAGAGCCTGGTGGGGACCACTCTCCCCCATCCCACCCATGATAAACCCACATACACACACCACTCCCACCCTAGCCTGCTGTCAGTCTATGCTGTTCTGTCTGAGCAGTGGACTGCAATGGGGCCTCCTTCCTCTGGCCAGTCAAGGACATTCACTGCCATGGATGACCAAAAGCAAGGTGACTGAGGTCACACCTGCCCCCTCTCCCACCTCTGCTGCCCAAAGGGTACTTGCCTAACCCTTCAGTGTCCCCTTTCATCCTATCACCGTTGTAAGTCCCACCATTATCCTAACAGTAACTCTGGTAAGTTGAGCTTTCTTCCCATTCCTGGTGCCACTGGCCCAGAATCCATCTTCCTGGAGGTCCCAGTAGGGAATAAAGCAGGGCCTGGGTAGTAGGAAATGGGCAAACCTGGCCTCACAGTAGAGCAGGGGATGGTGGGCAGAGGTGCCACCAAGAGCCATGACTCCTCAGCCTGGAACCTAAGGGGCTGGTGTGGAAGGAGCTCTCACTCCAGTGATCCATGTGGCAGGACTGAGTTACCCCCAAGCAGAAAAGCACCCAGCACTGTTCTCACTCACCACCCACCCCTAGTGCCTTACCTTCCCACCCAGGAGAGAAAACCTGCCACAGGTTCCAGACATCATCACACACACCCATGGCTGGTGGGGACTGGTGGGGCCTTACCCTTTGGCCAAGGGCTCCAGAAATTGGCCCATTCTCCTAGCCACCCCAGATCCTGGAGGAGCAGTGCCTTCTCTGCTTACTGGCTGAGGACTGCATCTTGTCCACCCTGAAGTATGGGTGAAGAAGAGCCTTCAGAGCCCCAACAGTCCAAGTCATGTTCTCTCTGCCTGTCTAGTGTAGTTCCAAGATTACAGTCCACTCAGTAGAACCAGAAGTGCTCCACCCACTTCAAGGTGTGGTTGGTGGGAGAGAGAGTTGGCCTCTGGTGGTCAGAGAGAACATTTGGGGGTGAAGTGATACAGGGTTGGTTCCCTTCTTATCCTCATTCCACCTCCCAAAAGTCAAAAGGGGCCTATAAGGCAGGACAGGGAAGAGGGTATCCATGACTCCTACACCAGTCCAGGAGGTGGGAACTCTTGGTCAGTTTACTCAGGGGGAGGTGCTAGTATGTGGAGGGGGGATGGGGGTGTTCCATGATGAGCATGAGTTGTAGGTAGGGGGGACCCATGTGGAAAAGGGCTCTTCCACCAGGAGTCATGGCTGGTTCTTCAGATGGTTACTTGAGTTTGGAGACCACAGCTGCATTGGCTGTTACCAACACTGTAACCACAGTGGGACCATAGATGCCCAAACCTCCAGAGGATGTACCCCTTAACAAAGGAAAAAGCTGTCAGTGTCCACTGGCCCAGTGTTTCTCAGAATGCTTCAGGTGGAAAAACATCTGAAAGCCACATACCTTATTACAGAATGCCATACATATGGTGTAATCTTAAATTTATGAGGTGTGAGTGTTTTTCAGAATCAACTCCATTTTGTACTACATTTTAATATAGAGGGTAGCAAGCACCACTGATTAAGAGATATTTATGGGGAGAGAACTTACATTGTGAAAATTCTACTTGCTAATCATTATTGTTGTTATTATTCTAGAAATGTGTAAAATTATTTGATTTTAGCTGCAGAACACATTGGTCCAACTTGCTTTTCAGTGGGAGAAAAAGCTTGAAAATTGCTAAACTAGTTCAATCCCTTGTTAAAGAAAACTGAGGAAATTGTGATGCCTCTTTAGGAGGAATACGTGACTCATATAACTAGTTAGAAGTCGCTCCAAGATTAGACCCAGACTTTGGACTTGTGGTCCAGTGCTCTTTTTGTTGTATCATGAGCTCAGGCACCATTTCCCATCCCCTGATGACTGATCCAGTCCCTTCGGGGCAGCCCTGTGTTTTAGATAGAGCACGTCTAAATCCGGGACCCTTCCTTCCTTCCCTGGGTGCACTGGGGCAGACTGGTGAGTCCTCACCCTGTGATGGTCAAGGGCTCCAGAAATTGGCCCATTCTCCTACCCCAGATCCTAGAGGAGCAGTCTGCTTCTTGCTGACCCATCAGAAGAAGGAGGAGGGGGCACCTCAGCTATGTCTCAATGTGAATCAGACCTCCCCTTCAATGTGTCCCTGGCCTGTTGGAGTCTCTGCCTCAATCCTGTATAATGCTGTTGCCTTATCAATAAAATACACTTGTCTTTGTAATGTCTTCACCTTTCCAGCTCTCCCTCTAGCTCTGGCTTCTCCAGAGAATTGACTGGATACTGCGAACATCAGTTACTCAATCCTGGAACCCACAGTAGCCCAGGCCACTCCCTCAGGGAAGGCTAGGAATTGTGAGGAAAGGAGAGGTGGGAAAAGTGAAGTTTCATGAGGCTTGGATTGGGAGAAATATACGGTCATGTATTCTCTTTTAGAATGAGAGAGCATGAAGGTAGACGTTTATAAATCTATGACTTTTAAAATATATTAGTGGAAGCCCAGGAAAGTGTACACCAAAGTGCCAAATAAACAAAATTCTAGGAAATAGGAAAATTGTCCCACTGGCTAACTAGAAGCAAGTAGGAGGATCCAAGAGAGGCCAACAGGGACGGTTGGAAAGTACGCCACATGGCGCGAAAGCTGGAAATAAAGCAGAAAATGAAAGCTCTCCAGAGTACCTCCGGAGTGGTTTCCAAAGAGAAAAAGCGTTCGCCAGAAGTTTGTCAAATAAGCAATGAAGAAAGCTTTGCTCATGGTAATAAAAATGGATCATCCTTACACAGCGCTTACTTTGTGGCAAGCCCTGCTGTAAAGAAATGCTTTATGCAAACCAACTTTCTTTATCCTTATAAGAACACTATGGGCTATTATTACCTCCATTCGGCAGAGGAGATAACTTGCCCAAAGTCACACTGGTGATAAGTAACGGAGATGGAATTTGAACCCGTGGCAGCTGACTCCAAAAGCCATTAATTAACTCCTACACTATGCTACTTCCTATCGAGTTGAGGAGCCTGGTATGATAGGCTTGCCAGCTCCCTGCTAAGGAGGACCTAAGGGAGATTCTCAGTCCTTGAGCAGGCACCAAGATAGGAAAATTAGAGGTGCTGGATCAAACAGTGCTCTACCCTCAAGAAGTGTTCAAGCGAATGTGTTGGGTTCAATCAAGTATGACATTCCCCTGAAAACCTCAGGAATGAAAACCTGGCGACCACTGGCAATCACAAATGTCTCGCATTAGAACTGGCAGCTGTGCCAGTGATTTAGAGGATTGCAAATGACTCCCATGAACAGCCAGGACCCTCAAAGGGACCAGAGGTGTCAGAGCTGGTACCCAGGGAAGTGGGGTTTATGATAAAGGACAACTTCTCTAAACACAGCAAACAGAAATAACCGAGGACACAGCATTGTGAGATACAAGAGGGGAAATCAGGCTCAACCAGTGTATTTAGTTCTCATAAGTTGGCCTGATAACCTGTGGATATGACTTACTTCAGTTTTTCAAAAGCATCTGTAAAGGTTTCAAACCAAATGCTAAAACTTGTCACTCTGGGATGGGGTGGGATGGGAGTGGAAGAATTGCTTTAGGGCTATTTTGAAAAACGTATGGATTTAGAGAAAGGAAGTCAATAGCTATATAAATGAACACATCAGAGACATGTCAAGAAGGCAGTTGTTAAAACTGTTGTTATTGTTGTTATTTGCCATCAAGTCGGCCCCGACTCATAGCAACCCCTCCTTGGGTTTCCGAGGCAGTATCACTACGGAAGTAGGATTGCCCAACCTTCCTTCCGAGGAGTGGCGGTTTGAACCGCCAGCCTTCTGGTTAGCAGTCAAATGCCTTAGACACTATGCTACCAGAGCTCTCTAAAACTGTTAGGAAAATCTTATTTAACATAAATGATCTAGAGGAACACAAAATCTCCAAGGCTGTGTACTGTGATAAAGTCCAAGTAAGCTGGGAGGAATGGACCCAGGAAGATCTTATAGTTGGGATAGATGATTTTAAGTCTTTATGTTGCAAGTTTTGATTCTGCACCTATGCTCTTCAATAAGGTAACCACTAGCCACAAATGAAGAGTCCCTGGCTGTCACAAATGGATAAACCCTCGGCTACTAGCCAACAGGTTGGTAGTTTGATGCAAAAATGGGCATGGGGGCAGCATCCTCTGACCTCCTCTAACTTCACAAGGAGACAGAATCACCATCAGCAGCCCAAGACTTATTCCTATGAGGCCAGACATGCTGCCACCCTCCAAACTCTTTTACCAACTCTGACGCCAAACATCCTCCCATGACACTCACTACTGGGTTCAATAATTTGTTGCAGTGGCCACGCAGAACTCACAGACACTACTCATGATTGTAGGGTTTATCAGGGAAGTAACAGGCAACAATTGAGTTTCAGGAATGTGCTCAGGATACAATTCTTCCATCAGGACAGTCTCCCCTGTGCTGTGCCCTCAGGCATGCCTCTGTGGCCCTTGGCCTTCTGGCCTGCCCTTTGCACTGCTTGGGCAAGTGTTACAAAGTTCTTTTAGCCCTGCCAATAGGTATACCTAGGTGCACCCCCCTCCACCAGCAAGCCTCCTGCCCAAGGGCACTCGGCTTTCTCACTCTGTGGGCCAGGCAA